AGGACAATCAAATATGGCTTGGCAAGGCTCAACCATCCATTTCACAACATTAATCTAAGGCCAATTTACAAAGATTCCCTATGGTATCCAAAGCTAAATGGCGCAAGAACTTTATGGATGAAAAAGGAATTGATTTAGGAATGCTATGATTCAAATTTGAGCACAATCCGATATCGGATCAAGTAGATATAGCCTCCCGAACGCCTTGAACCGTAGGCAGGGTCCACCAAAATCGATCAAACATTAGACAAGGATCCAAGAAATCAGTAACCAATAAACTCCAAATTTTTATGAAAGGAAGCGGATAATGAGAAAATCCTTTGGTAACAATTGCTACTAAATGTGATGTGAGAAATGCCCTTGTGGTGTTGTCTTTGGCGCACCACAAGGAGACCACAAATAAAATAAAACATATCATGTTGTGCCTGTAGATCAACATTTTCATAAGGATTGCAGCAGCCCACAAAATTTCTTGGCCCCAAAGATCGAACCATAACTCGAGATCTCTAGGGCCAAATGGGCTAATTTTAGTATGTTGATCATCAATTAATGAGCTTTCTATTCATATACAAATATCAAGGGGATTTTCAGCTCGGATCCTCATCAAATCGAAGCCAAGAGTGAGGGGTTGCACCAAGTTCATGTGCAACGGTCCCCATGACCTTTTTTGCTTCCAGACATATAACTCACAATCCGTGTGAAGCTTTTGGCTAAAATTTTGCAGAAACATTCCTCACTCAATCCTCTTCAAATCAATATAAAATGTTGATAGATCTAAAGCCAATTTAAGAGGCGAATTTTAATGAGAAGTTGTTTAAATCTATAAGGCTACAATTGCTAAAAATAATAAGAGTAAAAGGGCCATATCTCCATTTCAACATCGTAAAATCGTTTGTAGAATTCAACTTTTATCTCAGCCCAGGTATAAATGGAATTCGGGGGCAAGCGTGAATACCACTTGAATGTAGGGCCAGTTTGTATTTCCACAAACAATCTCAAAACCAAGCGGTCATCTGCAACTGACTCTTGACATAAATAAAGGTTGAGGGTTCACTGACTCTCTTCCATTTTGCTTGTTTTCCTTTCTCTCTCTAATAGGAGAGGAAGGTCAACTGAGAAAAAATAAAATGAGGAAAGAGAAAAGGAAATGTGGAAAAGAATAGTGAGCATGAGAAGTAGTGAGAGGGAACAACAGAGGTTTCAATTTGTTTTTTTAGAGACCCAAGCGATTCCCTTTGTTGAGTCATAGAGGAAGTAAAGGATTATATGGCTCCGATTTAGTTTATAACTAGCTTGTGGTAATTTTGCTTCGTCTTGGCACACACTAAGTGAGACTTACGGGCTTCGACCTGGTTAGGCTGCCTCCTATGCAACTAAGAGCATCAAAATCCTCATGTGACTATGTGGACAGGCCTGATTCAGCGCTTTAATGGTTGGATCGGGTTTGAAGAGCTGATCTGTCAAGGGATCCTTGGTTGCTTCAAAATCTCGATGCCATGGTTGATGCTATGTCGCCTATGCCAGCCTTGGTCTTAAGAGAGCTCATAGATAAGTTCTATGAGAGGAGGGTAACTGAGCTTCTTAGGGGTTGGGAAGGAGAAGCTTGCATTCAAAGTTGCAAAGCAAAACTTGGACACTCATAAGAAAGAAGGGAGAGAAAAGTAGAGAAGAAGAGAGTAGAAATGGTTGGCTCACTGTGAAAGATGAGGGCTACTAATGATGACAAAGAAGAAACTAAGTACCCTCTACAAAATGTCAAAGTGCAACATGCCCAAACCAAGAAGTAAAGGAATTTAAGAGAGAGCAAGAACAAGTATTTCCTGATAACTTGATCTTAAATCAAAGAAAGATGTACTCCTTCAATATAGAGCTCACCATGGGTGAGCATACCCTACCATGGGTCTATGCATGACATCCCCACCATGGATGCATGCAAGGCACTTCATGGGTATATGCACGACCTCCACCTCATTGTCGGTGCACCATCTCCCCATTGAGGGTGAGATCCATTAAAGATAAACATGAGCCCATAGTGTGTACCTCTCACCCAAGCGGTACAAAGAGATGCAAAAGCCAGGTTCCTGAGCGCAGTTCTAAGGCCCGAAAATTGTCGATATGGCTTCCAACGGCCCAATTATATATAGGACTGACCTTCAAAAATTCTTCTCACACCAAAAATCAAATATATCAAGGAAATTAGAGTCCACGGTCAACAGCAGGCGAGAACACGTGATACTGCCTCAGGCTCAAGAGTACGTTGCCAGACACCTGAAGTCTTCTCAAAATCCGACTATTGGCAACAAGCCAAAGATACTCAATGTTGCATCAAATCAAGGATTCAGGAGCAAGTCATAAGACACTCAGAATCCATTCTGGTGATCGAGAGCAAATTAGAGATACTCAAACACTACATCAAAGCAAGGATCTAGGAGCAAGTCGCGAGACACTCGTAATCCATTCTAGTGATCGAGAGCACTTCAGAGATGCCCGACACCGCATCAAATCAAGGATCCAGGAGCAAGTCATACAACACTTCGAATCTGTGCTGGAGATCGGGAACAAGTCGGAGACACTCGACAGTGCATCAAACCAAGGATCTAAGAGCAAGTCATAAGGGACTTGAAATCCATTCCGGTGATCGGGAGCAAGTCCAAGACACTCTACGCCACCCTAAAGCAAGGAACTGGGAGCAAGTAGTAGGATACTGGGAATCCATACCGGTGACCGAGAGCAAGTCGTGGGACACTTAGAATCCATTTTAGTGACTAGGAGCAAGTCAAAGACACCTGGCACCTCTAAGGCTCAAGCGGGAACAAATTTCAATGAAGTACCCAACACATCTACAAATTGTGAATGGGAGGAAACAATAACGATACCTGACACCCAAAATAAAGTAAATCCCCAGATGATGACACCAAACTGGAGTCTAATGTACTGCTCTTCATGTGTTTTCTTGATCCTGCTACATTTGGGGGACAAGTTATTCGGGGGTATTTTATCCCAAATAAAATGACACTAGACCCAAGGAGTAGTGATGTTTAGCAGAACAAATTCACAACATAATAACTACCAAAGTATCGAAGGAACCACCGGAAATGGCTAAAATGGGTAAAAAGCAATCTCATAATAAATCCAAATATGAGAAATCCTCTTAACATAATGAAAGAAGCTCCCTCCCAAAAACAAGAAAGATCCAAGCTCAATCATACCTAAAGCAGTAATTAGATGATCCAGTATGAGATGTGGTCACGCTTCGGTCAAACAGGATCAAAATCATAATCTGACTGTTGAATCGTTAATCCAAGGCACCCCGAGGCTACCCTCAAAAACTTAGGCCAATCTGATATCGGATGACCAAGATATAGTCCAATGAAGCTCAACTGTCCATATCACATCATTGATCAAATGTTTAGGAGTAGGGTAAGTCAAACTGGAGATCAACATGTTTTAAACCTCAATCTAAGATCCCATGAGATCATTTTCTAAAAATCAAACTGAAGTGCCACCGTGTGGTGTGCAGGTTCGTGCACCCACCATCTATGATGCGCACTAGCCTTGTTTGCCTCGTCTCACCAGTTGAAACACGGCACCATCCCCACAATAAGAGATGTAAACATAAAAACTAGCTACATGTGAGTTGCAACAAAGGATGACCCTTCAAAAACCCTCAATAGTAGTACCTATGCCCAAGGACAAGGTTTTCGAACATGGCCCAAGCTGTAGACGGCCTAACCTTGGGTCAGTCAACCAATCATACACTCCCACTAAAGTGTACAATTCATTATATCCATTATATTTACATGCTCTCAAGGGCTCAAAAGGCCACAAACCCCTACACCAATAAGAAAATTGTTCAGTGTTGAATATTATATGTAAGTGACATTGTCTTGAGTGTTTGTTAATCTCCAAGTGGTTGTTTGGGTGGAATTTTGTTGGGGACTAAAGTGAGATCTTATATTTTGTTTTTGGAGTGTATGTGATGCCTTTTGTTTGTAAAAGTGATTATGGTATTGTAATTTGGTTTAGAGCATTGTAAAGTCAAGTTTTAAGTATGTAAGTACTTGTAAAATTTTAAAAGTTGTATACTTGAGCTTAGCCCTATACACTAATCACAAGTGAGAAAATAAATGATTTTGAATTAAGGATAAACTAAAAACTGCCATGGGATCAGTAGTACTGGGAGCAAGAACACTACCCTCGTATTAAGTTTGGAATTTAGATCCCATTAATTGAAAGAATGAAGCCCATCATCATGCAGATGGCCCCAGGGTGAAACTTCCTAGAACTAAAATGAGAAATAGCACAAGCACGTCCCTTTAGAATGTCCCTTTTCTAGTCAGACCGATAGTGGAATCTCAGAGCACTTATTCATAGGCAAGTCTAAAGGGGAGCAGGCTCAAGCAATGAAACAGTACATCCATAGCAGCTATGATCATCTACAATTTCAGAAGTACAACTGAGTTAAACTTTATCAACACATGAATTCAGGCACTTGACTCAGTGCTTAGGGAGCTGAGGGCCACAACACAACATCCAAGGTTCAACATCTTTAGTGACGCATTTCAATCGAACTCTCCTAGAAACACCTCAAAGAAAATACACTATCCGTTTTTACCAGGCTCCCCCATTTAGTACGCTATATTAAACAGTTTGTTTCAAGTTGAGTATGAACTTTGATAAGTGACCCTGATACAACATATTGCATTATCTAGAAGATATGATACAGTGAAGACAAAGCCGGCCGCCCAGCGGCAGCCTTTGTCTTTTTGAGCATTGGATATATATAAACATGTTGACCCATTCCTCAAAAGAAACACACTTGAGCTTTTGAAATTCATGTATATTATTAGCACATCTCAAGAAAAATAATCAATGGTTAATAACTTGTCAGGAAAAAAATATTTGAAGAAACTTGAAAAACCTGTCATTATATGCCATAGAACATTGGCAAATGTTTTTGGGGTAATTTTATGAGCAGATAGAGGATATTGAGTAAATACCTCAAAATCGCACTCAACAAGGGAGGACTCTGAGCTGTCTGAGCATTGGTTGTATCTGGCCAGTGTTTTCTTCATGCTAGAAAGTGCAAAGCAACAAACTGTTAATACACTTACCTTCCTAATGTGCATTACAAAACTTATTTTTCCAAATACAGAATAAGGAAACAATTAAGAAACAATAATTCTTAACTGTTCACATATGTCTAAAGTACTTCTTACAGTACGCCAGTCAAACACAGGGATTACAAGCTCAGGAACATGTAAAAATAGAACCTCCAATTCATCATTTATCAACATATAACTAATTAAAAAACTCTCATTGATCAATCTTTAATTGCAATGAGAACACTCTATATTTGATCAAAATTTAAAGCACCAAAACCATTAATCGCACTATAATTAGAATGAGAACAAAATTAACAATATCGACAGTTCAAGCTACCTGTATTTAAGTCTTATTCTTAATAAACAATTTGTAACCATCAAAACCAATGTTGCCTTAAACAACTGCATGGTGTAAAGAAACAAAAACTAATGACTGTTCCTTTTTTGTCTAAATCAGAAAGGGCTTTGAGAGCATTAACATTGTGCACAGTGCCTCCAGATAGAGAATAAAACCTATCCAATAGGTAGACTAATGGATAAAAAAACATTTGATAAGAACCATAACACTGAAGCTTTTGGAACTGGTTACTTTTGTGAAACTCTAAATGATGGAAACAGGGGAGATTCACACAAAAAATTCTATTGAACTAAATTTTAATTGGAAAATTACAATGAGGCGCAACTTTTACTTTAACAAAAATCCAGACTGATATCTTCAAGAGGTCATTGAATAAGATTCGGATAGACTTAGTCTTGCTCATAATGATCTCTTCACAAGAGTAGTCGTGTTATCTACCTCCATGAAGTTGGTCACGATACTTAATCCTTTGGATCATGCTTCCTCACTAAAGACTCAATGTATTGGAAATCTCACGACTACTTCTAAAGTTCCAAGCTAAGTTGAAACAAATACTACATCAGGAACCCAACTTCTAACAGCTATGCATATACTTTCCTCTGATCTTCTAAGCCCCATGAGATTTCAGTGAGACAGGGTCCAAAATATTGGCCCTTGAAGAAAAACTCAATTGCCTGAGAGTATTTGAAGTTATACTTTCCATGATGTGGAACAATGAACCACATACTAGTTGTAAAGTACATTTTTTTCTTCGAGGCCATCTCACAATCTGCATATATCTTCTGAAATTAAAATGTACAAATTAAGCTAGCCCATCTAACTACGAGCTCTTGGCCAGCCGCTTGGGGTGTTAGGGACCAGAGCACCACCCAAGGAAGGAGCTCATGTAAGCAACCTCTGTTTCAATCTTGGAAGCAAGATCAACAGTGGAAGAAGAAGCATGCATCGGAGAGTTGGAGCACCCAAATTTGAATAAAGAATCCTCGTGACTCACCAAGGACGGTCATCCACGAGGGAAGGAGGCCTACAACCAAAGGATTAACCTATTTAACTTTTTGATAATCACCCTACCACCACAGGATATTCTGAAGTTTAAATATTTTATTGATTCGGCCCTCATCATTATGAGTGTCTTTAGAATGTAAGTAGAATTGTCCATTGTGAGTTAAAAACATGTCAATGTGCATAACCCTGATGTGTGAACAGACGAAACAATTATTATTATGAACAATTCAAGTGAGTTCAAAACAATTGTTCCAATGTACCAAAAGATCAAAATAAACATTTTGTAAGGTTCGGACTTCTTTTCAATTTTCTTGGACCTAGGAAGCTATTGCTGCACAATCAGCTCTATAGATACAAATCTAAGGAAGCGAAGAACATGGAGTGTTTTCTAAACTCTTTGTATTCTTTAACAAATTGAAAATAACGAGCCATTTTAGGGACTTGACATGCTAATGCTCATGCCACCCCTTTGAATCTCATAATACCAAAAGTGAGCTTACTCATGTATATTATGAATGTAGATAAGAAATGCTTCAAATTCCACAGATCATCCTTTTTGTCAAGGATCACGTAACTTACATATGAATCTGTATGTGTACCACATAATACATTCAACGGAAGTGGAACTTGCATATTTGGAGCCCATGTGCGCTCTACTAAATGAGGTATGAATATATATGTCAAAATTCAATTAGTTTTCCAATACCATAGCGTTCACATTATCAATGTGTATAATAAGAATCCTCTGTTTCCTTTTCTTATCATAAATTTCCACAATGTGATTGGTGATAACCTAACAGGTCCTAGACATGCAAGGGAAAGAGAAGAGCAAACCAACAGTATATGTTAAGATTGGCAAACCCATTTCTTTTAGCATAAATCGGTGGAAATTGGGCAAGAAATAATAATAGTTATCAAAATAGATATATCTTCAGCAATTTAAAGACCACAATCTCCATCATTCATGATCTAACCAAAAGGAAAGGGATGCTGCAGCAATCCAATCCACATATAAACAACAAGAACCCCATAACTAGAAAAGGCTTCGAATCAACCGAAAGTTTGTCTTGCTTTTTTCTCTTTTGTAGACTGTCTAACAAATTTCAAAAGAGAACAGAAAAACATGGGCGAAAATAAGCATGCTTAGAAATTCTTACCCAGAACTAGGAAATTCAAAGAGTTTTCCAGTGCTCGAGAAAATAATGAGCGCAACCTCCGCATCGCATAATATAGAGAGCTCCTGCGCCTTTTTGAGCAAACCAGCCCGACGTTTGGAGAATGTGACCTGCCTGCTAGTTGCATTCTCTATCTTCTTAATCTCAATCTTTCCCCTTCCCATCTCTCCTCTCTCCCATCCAAAAAACGAGAACACCAAATGATACAGCAAAAACCAATAAGTCCTCTCTCTCTCTCTC